AAGAGATCCCCTGCCATCCACATCAAATTTTGTTTGCATAATAAATAAACTTTTGATATGTTAAGCCATTTGTATTTCAAGCTTTCCCATTCCATCTCAAGTACATACAATATCTTCATAATAATCAACTACTATTTCAATTGTTATTCTTAAATATTTTAGTTGCAAAGAAAAAGGGCAGATACTCTTGCAGTTAAAAGATTCTAAAAGTAGAGACAAATAAAAATTCTACTTTCTCCAAAATTAAATTTATCCTCAAAGGTAACCACACTGAAAAATCTTGCACATACTATTTTAAAACTTGAGACTTTTTTCCATATAAGTATAAAAAAATACAGTGTAAGTTTTAGCATACATTAATAACTGTTGTACATCTTGTTCTGCCTCTTACCTTAGCCACTGGCTAAAATGAATTCAGTATCTCTCTGTAACAACACATATAGATTGAGTTGTTTTGTTTAACTATTCCCTAAATTCTTAAGTGTGTATGTGCTATATAATGAACTAAAGAAATCTCTTCCTGAGGAACACACCAATTGTTTCCCATTTGTTACTATGTTTAATAGCACTAAAAAACAAAATAAAAAAAATTTTTTTAAAGAAAAAAAATAATAGCACTGATAACAACATTATAGAACATCAGTTCTTAAGCAAACATGAATGTTTTATTATAGGAAAGATGTATAAAAGTGTGAATTGAATTAAAGTGGAAAGACAGTGGTGATTGTATGTTTTATGAATATTTCTAACATTAGTCTATCCCAATAATGATGTGCCAACTTATATTTTCACTTATCAATATATGTGAATAAATTAAACCCTCACAAGCATTTAATTTTATCAACCTTTTAAACTTTGGCTAAACTTGATTGAAAATATAGTCTGTCTTATTTAACTTGTAATTTCCTTGTTTTCTAAGTAAATTGAGCCAAAAATGAACATAATCCCTAACCTACAGAAAATGAAATTACAGCAATGTTGTCTTGAACAGCTGTGAGGTTCATGAGTTAGCATTCTTATATGTCAACAAACACTTTTTACTTTGAAAAAGATTTGTTCATAATGATCAGATACCAGGAGATGGACCTACACAGGAAAACTGCAGTTAATGAAGGACTTCAGGAGCACTAGGAAGTAGAACAACTTCTAGAATACATGATAGAGATCACAAGCCAAACCAAATCCAGAGAGCCCAGGGTAGATGGCAGTCAGGGGACTACATCCAGAGTTCAGCATAGAGTAAAAAGGGATCAGGAGAGAAGATGTGGAAACAATATTCATGAGTAAGTTTGGGAATTTCAATTACTGTTACAAGGATGATGTTGGGAGGTGACCTGAGTGGGGAGATCAATTGAATGAAAAACATGCCTCAGCCTCCCTCCCTTAGAATCTCCCCTATCCACTTGTCAGGCAGAGTATCAAAAGCTTCTCTATGTCAACCATTGATGATATTAATGGATTCTGGGAGAACTATATCTCTCTAGTTCCTTGATTGTCCAGTGCATCATTGACAGCATATCAGTCCTGAGAGTGTTTTGATGCCTAGTAAGAATGGGTATTTCTTCCTCTGTGTGTCTGGACCTCCCACCACTGAGTTCAAGGCTGTTCAGTGGATTGGATACTGATTAAAGAGATTTAAAAAAGGGCAAGAAATAGTAATGCCTAGTAGAAGGGAGTGTGCAGCTGCAAGGAGAAGGAATTGGGGGGGGGAATTCTCTGAGGCTAATTCTATTGTAAGTAAAGGACTAAGTATGGATATGTCTTGAAAACAGGTCCTGATGTTATACCCATTTCAGATTGCTTCTGCTTGTTCCCAAGTTCTTTATAGAAAATCTTTATGTATTTTCTGTGACTATGTGTGGTGGCCTTTGTTCCCACCAGATACTGAAGGAGGAGACTTGTCTGCAATAAAAAAATTTCCAACTGAATGAAGAATCAATACAGATGTAGTAGTTTTTCATTAAACTGATAGGGTGATAGGTATATGTGGAATCCAAATTTCTATTTTTATTATAGATAGAATCAAGTCAAATTATAACCCTGACTTGATTGAATAGTTTTTGGCAGTACTAGAGTTTGAACTCAGGGCCTTGTGCTTGCTAGGCATATGCCCTCCTACTTGAGCCATGCCTCTAGCCCTTTTCTCTTTGGTTATTTTTGAGATAGGGTCATGTTTTATGTCCAGGCCCACCTGTACCACGATTCTCCTAGTTATGCTTCCCATGTAGCTGGGATGGCAGGTACATGCTATCATGCCTAGCATTGTTTATTGCTTAAGATGGATTTTCACTAACCTTTTGTCCTGGCTAGCCTCGAATTACAATTTTACTGATCTTTGCCTCCCCAGTAGGTTGAATTGCAGGTGGGAGCCACTGTACCTTGTGAATTGAGTTTTTTTTAAAAGAGGTATTCTGTCCTAGCCATTCCCAAAGTTATCACACTATCTGTAGTAAAGTTTATATCACCTTTTAAAGGTGATATAAATAATAAAAGGTGATATGATAAAAGGTCATTGAACCAAGTGTCATAAAAGGAGGGTTTCCAGACTTCAAAAAGAAATAAAAGTGAAGACCCTAGGGAAATTCTGAGAGACTCACCCAACTCAGAATAGATTGTTCAGCACAGTTAGGTACATACTGTGCTGATTACACTTTTAAGCCCATGCCTGGTTGTTAGCAGGTCAGGTACCTCCTCTCTTCATCCTCTGGAGGCTGTGAATGGGGGACTGTAGAGTAAAATGGTTGAGGAGTTGGGATAAATAGCCTTGGTTTTAAAGATGTCTGACTTAAATCAAGAAAGGAAGGAATCCCAGACTTTATAGGAGTCAATGAAAGACACCTGCATGAATTCTGTAAGAATCCCTTATCTCCACAAAACAGAGGACACTGTTATGAATCATACCACTACTCTGATCTCTGAGAGGCCTTATTTGGAGGTAGTATAAATTAACTTCCCTGATCTCTGTCTGTGACTTCTAGGAAAAGTGAAGGCATTGGTCTGACTTGGTTACTGTCAGATCAGCAGAGGACAGTGCTCCAACGAAGAGTTTCAAGCCTGATGTAGTATTAAGGTGAAGACCCTGAATGAGGATTGAGGGATAAAGTAGGGCCAACAGAACCCCTCCCCTTATGTAAGCCCTGGGGGGCCCTAAACAGGGATTACCTTATGTAGCAACATTGAACCAGGCTTTGACATCCAATTAGCAGAGGGCAGGGTCCACGGCTTCCAGCAATGAAGGTTCAGGCCCAGTGGAATATTTGAGGGAACAATCCACACCAGATAAGAAGGGACCTACAGAACCCAGATTCCTACTGTCAGGCTTGAGAGGTCCATGATGGTAGTGGCCAGATAGAACAAAGCCTGAGTTCCAGCCCTGGCATCTCAGGAAAATGAAAGAATTAATGTGAGGGGACAGTGTTAAGTGAGTAAAGGGAGGAATCCTAGGCCCTGACAGTAGGTAAGGTAAAGACCCTTTGTGAGGTGTCAGGATACTCACTACCCAAGCGAGAGGGGGCCCCACAGAGTACTGTCCCTACCATCAGTGATAGCAGACCCCAGGGAAAGAATACCTGATTTGTCACCCACTGAAGTACCTCTTTGGAGATTCAAGGAGGTGCTGACTAGGGTTAAGACCACAGGTCAGCAGATGGAAGACTCTCAGGCCATAACAGAAGTAAAGGTGAGGACACTCAAATCTGAGCGAACCATCCATGCCAAAAGTGAGGGACTCATAGAGTCCTACCCCTACTATTACTCCAGGGAGGTCCCAGATGGGAGTGGCTGGATGTGACATAGGCTTTTGATCCTCAAAGAAGCTATTTCCAGCCTATTCCAGGAGATTATGTAAGGACTTTGAGTTAAGTTCAAGGGGACTTGCACCCCCAAAGACAGGGGACTCCATAGATTGTTGGTAAGCCCTAGACAGGGATCACATGATAAAGCACACTCTTTTCTTCTGGTGGGAACTCAGATATGTGAGAGCATTGGAAAATAGTGTCAGCTTTAGACCAGCAGAGGAAGGGCTTCAGGCCCTAACAGGAGTACTGAAGGAAAAGATTCTGAAGTTTTTGTTTGTTTGCTTGTTTTGCCTTGTTTATATAGTTGGACAAAGCCTATATAGCCCAGGCTGGCCTTGAACTCACTATGTAGCCCAGGCTGACCTCAAAGTCAAGATCCTACTGCCTTATCATCTTGAGTGCTGGTATTACAAAAATGTACCACCACACCCAGCTACAGATCATGAGTTCTAAGGAAAATATTCGTTCCAGATCAAAAGAGGAAGACAGATCCCTATACATGATGTCAATCTCAAGGAATTATGAGATAGATTTGCGAGGGTGAGGTCTCTCTAAATTCTTACTTTAGAATCTCAAAGATGAGATCACCTTTCTTTGAGGTAGCAGGTTTCAGGTCAGCAGAAGGTGGAGGACAAGGCCCTACCAGAAGTCAAGATGAGGACTCTCTGAGCGAAGAATGAAAACCTTAATTACCCCAGGCCATAAAGGGACCCTCAGAGCTCTTTCATTGTTGCCATTCTATGTGTCCTTAGGCAGATGTGGATCTCCTTCAGTTTCTTTTCAAAGTTAAGAATAGGATAAAGGCATTGAAATGAGAGGTGAGCACCAAACAGTGGAGTAAAGGGATTCTAGGATTTGTCAGAAATCAAAATGATGACACTGAATGTGAACAGACACATCTGCTTGACCAAGAACATACATAGGCCTCCAAAAAGCTTGGCTCTTCCATGCCTTGCTGCCTCACTCTAGTAAACCTCTGACAGTTCTTGTAGGTTAACAACCTAAAATACTCCTTAGTTACTTTACAGGCTACTTAGAGTGGAAGCAGAGACTAGGGGCTTTTAGATGTTTCTTGAATAGAGTGCACATCCAAAAAGCCAAATTGGGATTTCTTGAGTGAATGGGAACAAACTATATAATCTTGTCTCCTCCTTGTCACCAGATCACCTTCTCTTCTGTCTGATGAATCTGAATTGAATCATCATGCCTCGTGGTCAGAAGAGTAAACACCGTGCTCGGGAAAAACACCATCAGGCCCGTGAAGAGACTGAAGATCTGCTGGGTGCCCAGGCTACTGTATCAGAGGAAGATGAAAAGCCCTCCTCCTCTGCTAGTTTCAAGGGTATTCCCTATGGTTCACTTGCTGAGACAGTTAGCAATCTCCAAGGTTCTAGGAGAACTCCATCCACAACCACTAAGGCTACATCTATTGCATACACAAGACCTAATGAAGGTTCAAACATCCAAGTGAAGGAGAAGGAAAGATTCACACAAGACCCAGAAGCCAATGAGAACTTCCCCAAAGGCCCTCTAAATGAGAAGGTAGTGATATTGGTACATTACCTGCTACACAAGTATCAAATGAAAGAGCCTATTACAAAAGTAGAAATGCTGAAAAAAGTAATCCAAATTCACAAGAACCACATCCCTGAGGTCTTGAGAAGAGTTTCAGAGCACCTAGAGTTGGTATTTGGCCTTGATATGAAAGAAGTTGATCCTAACAGGCACATCTATGTCCTAATCAACAAACTGCAAACAAGCTCTGATGCAAGGCTGAGTGATGACAGAAGAGTGCCCAAGACTGGCCTGCTGATGACTATCCTGGGTGTGATCTTCACAAAGGGCAACTGTGCCACTGAGGAACAAGTCTGGGAAGTGCTAAATATGATGGGCTTCTATGAGGGGAGAGAACATTTCATTTTTGGGGAGCCTAGGAAGCTCATCACCAAAGACCTAGTGAAAGAAAAATATTTGGAGTACCAGCAAGTGGCCAACAGTGATCCTCCACGTTACCAATTCCTGTGGGGCCCAAGAGCCCATGCTGAAACCACCAAAATGAAAGTCCTCGAGTTTTTGGCCAAGATCCATGAAACTGTTCCTATGGCCTTCCCATCCTTGTATGAGGAGGCATTGATAGATGAGGAAGAAAGAACCAGTGCAAGAATTGCAGCCAGGGCTCGCATTAGTGCAATGGCCAATGCATGTTTCAAGGCCATGCCCAGCCACTCCACTCACCCCTAGTAATGTCTGAGGCTGAATCTTCACTTTGAAGTTGAAAAGAAAGGTACATGTTGTAAATAGTGGAAGGTCAAGCTGTGTCTGAAGACAATACAATACAATACATTCATGTTCATGCTCTATGTGGTATTTTCAATAACTTAAGGCTTAAGGTTTTGTTCATTTTATCAGAAGGTTAAAGTAGCTTCAGAATCTAAGTTTATGAATGGCATTGCTCAAACATTTTTCTGAATCTGAGATTTAAGTATAAGTGATTTATAACTTTGCAAATCAAATTGAGAAAATCTCCATCTAATTTAGTGATGTGGAACAAGATACCATGGGAGTAAATTAATCCTTCTCTTAGAAATGTGAAACAACTCAGAAATGTAATAATTAGGATCAAGAAAGAAAAACATAAATGATAACTAATTATCACATTTCCTATTCACTTCTACTCTATTATTCTGCAAATTAGAACATATACTTGGGTACACTTAGGTTATTCAAGGATATAGGAGAAATCAGCTGATAATAAATTAGACCTCTTGCACACTGGCTCATTTATTACTCAAACATTAATTGAGAATCTGCTCATTGGAACGTTGTGTGGTCACACTGGGAATGTCAGAAAAAAACAAGATTTACATATGTCCATTGAATTTGAGAGTCAAGGAGAAAATATTATATAAGGAATGTGATGAGAGACACCCTAAGACCTAAAGGATAAGTCAAAAGAAAGAGACAGGATGTATGGGGTAAGAGGTATCTACAAAACACCTGGTGTAAATGCCTTGAGACAAGTGTGCTTGTCTCATAGGGACATAGGGAAACTGCAAGCCCCTCAGTGTGAAATGAATCATCATTTCTTTTTGGCAATACTGGGGTTTGAACTCAAGGCCTTGCACTTGCTAGGCAGGCACTCTACTACATGAGACACATACCCAGCAGCATAAATCAATTTTAAATTAAGGTGGGTTATGGGTTAGATGAAGTTCTGAGTGTCAGAGGTGATCATCCTCCCAAAAGATGTGGACCAGACTTGGAAAGTGAAAGCCTGTAATGGAAAACTACTTATAGTAATTACATGGGATAATGGATAAGCTAGAAGTGGGCCACATTTTAAAGAAACATGACAGACAAGGAAATACCAAGGAACAGATGGAATTGTGTATGTTGGGGAGGGGGAGTGGGGGAGAGGCCCAGATGAAACGGAGATGTTCCTATGAACAAGAAATTTAAAACATGAGACTAGGAAGAGACAACCAATCAGTAAGGTCTACAAAAATGGAGACAGCCAATCAAAAGTGGCTTAATATGAAGTATGAAATTTACTCCAAACCCTGCCTCAGTGTGCTAAGATCCTCTGTGTAGCTACCTGCCATTTGTCTCTAATAAATCTATTTTCTCCTACTCTTTGCTCACTAAATTCTTTTACCAATCTGAAGCTCCCCCAAGTCCATGACATTAACCACAGAGAAATCTCCTTCTAGGGTAGGAACAGAATGTGTCCTGTACTCTCCCAACTCTAGTGACTTTATCACAGTACACAAATGAGGTATCCTATGCTCATCCTCTCCAGTCAGTTTCTGTGAAATTAGGATACTTCTGGCTTTATGTTGGATGAGAAGCCAATCTATTGGCACTTTTTGCTGTGACTTGGGAAAGAACTTATCTTAGTCCATTTTATAATTCTGTGACAGTGTACCAAAGACCAAGTAACTTACAAAGAAAATAAATTTATTTTCTCACAGTTCTAGAAGCTGGGAAGTCCAAGATCAAGGAGATGGCATCTGGCAAGGGCCTTTTTGCTACATAACACCATAGCAGAAGATGGGAGAGTGACAGAGAGAAAAGGAGGCCTGAACTTGCCATTTTGTGAAAACAAAACAAAATACAAAAACTTCCAGAATAATGGCATTCATTTCCCAATGAGTGCAGAGTCCTCATGGGCTAATAATCTTTCTTTAGGATCCATTTCTTATAACTGTTGTATTTGGGATTAAGTTTCCAACATATACTTTTGGGAGGGTGTAATGCCATTTACTGGTGGAATCTGGATGACCGAAGCTATAAAAAAATGAGGGGACTACTGAGTCTTGCTCAATAGTCACTTTAATAAAGTATACATTGCTTTTTATAAACTCCTTTTACACAGAGAGCATTTGGTCAGAAAAAGCATGCCAAGTATTACATGTCAAGGTTACATTAGTACAGGGAAGCACAGTTAAAATTAACTCTTTGCTATGTCTCCTTTAAAATAGGAACAGACGCAGGAGAACCACACGGTCAACATAACTTTCTTATTTACATCTGAAGGACATGAAGCCACCTGGGCACCTCGACTACTGTTTTTCTGGACATCTGGCTTTCTCACAAGGCCAGATACCAACTCACACAGGCAAGGTCTGGTCTGGGACTTTTGCCTCAGTTCCTTGGAGCTTTCTCACAAGGCCAGATGCCGACTCACACAGGCAAGGTCCCACTGCTGGCTCCGACAGAAGGGAGCACATTTAAACTGTAGCAAGTCTGTTCTATTAATCAGGCATTTAAACTAGATTATCTTGTGTGTATTTGGCAAACTCAAAGCCAAAGGATAGATGTTTTCATGCGAGTGAATGAGGGAGTCATTGATACATTTACCAGGAACCTTAAGTTACATCCTACTGGGGAAAATTCTCCCATATATATATATATATATATATATATATATATATATATATAATTTTTTTCTCAATCAGCAAGTGACTTTTTCTTGCTTAGAAGCATTTGATGGATTTGCTGTGCCATATTCTCTTGACACCTCTAGGATAAAAACTAAACATTTTCAAGAGGGAGATTCATAGTGTTTTTAATAAATATATAGTATTAATAACCAGTAATTGTCAAAGATTCAATACATGCTGAATGCTGACACTGTCCAATGTGCCTTATGTAAATTATATAATTCCAGCAGTCAAAATTCATAAGGTATACATGAGCTAGGGAATGAGATAAATACATCAAACTCACTTTGCAGGCAAACACATGAGGCTTATAGATCTTTGCAATTTTCTCGTGTTCACAAGGCTTATAAGAAACACTGCTGAAATGAGAGTCCTGTTCTGAATTCCTCTACAGCCCCCACTTTCCTCTCCTCCCAGCCTGAAGCAGATCTTGTGTCTTTTAATTCATGTTTCTTCATACTACTTTACCATGGCTGTAAAATCCATGGTATAGCCATTTTTGTATAGCCAAAATACGAAAAGCAGGCCTGAAGTAGGAAGGTTAAAAGGATAATCAAACTGTCTATGAAGTTCATTGCCTGAGGTCTTCCTGCCACTAGTCCCAGGGCTACTTGACTACCCTGGTGCCAGAGCCTGTGTCCCTTTCCCAAATCAGTGTCCTCCCCCTGTATCTTCTCCCCTTGCCCTCCTGTCCAAACTGGAACTGACCTGATGGTCAGTTCATCACTGCTTCCTCTGTAGCCTGCACCCATTCCTAGAGGAACAGACAGCATTCTCCCTACATAAAGGTTCCAAGACTCTGGAGGTGTGGTACCTCAACCATGGATCCCCTCTGACATAAAAAGTCCCTTCCATGCTATTGTTCATTTTGAACCATAAAATTTGGAGATATCTTCTTCACCTACCTGGTTGCCCTTGTAAGAGGTGCTTAAACTGTTTTTGCAGAAAAGCACTCACTGACTCCTTATTTGGGCCAACAGATTAACTAAAAATAAGAGAAAAGCTTGGTATCTCTGTCTCAATTTTGTATATGTTGTTATTTGCTCTGATCCATTCTTTCCTGTAGCTGCCTTGGAATAAAAAAAGGAGAGGAATGATGGATAACATCTTTATGATAAGGGACTGAAACTACCCATAAAGAGCAGCAGAATGTTGCAGGACAGACTACCTACCTCTCCAAATAAGGACAATTATATATAATGATGAGACTGCACTGTGGAGCAGAAGTAATCATGTCTTGGGAACCAGATTGCTCTCCTCAAGTGATGACAGCAATAACAACTTCTTCAGAAAAAGGACTGAGATAATGGTTAACCAGGCCCCACTCAACCACTGGAACACATCTGTGACTGGAACTGTTTAACTATACATACTTTTTGTCCCCTGTTCCTAATACTTTGTCTATTTAAAGTTAAAGCTCATGTTGGTACCCCAAAGATGGCTGAAGATGGGCTGAGTGCTTACTTTGCCTCTTCCCATGGTGTGCCCTGGGCAGTATAAAAAATCTCCTTTCTCTGATCTTCACCATGTCTCTTTATTTGGTTTATAAGGTATGACTGGCCAGAACTGCCATGTGGAATTTCAGAAGTTTGGGCTTTGGGTTCAAAACTCTGGTTTCACCCTTACCATACTCTCAAAGTGTTTGATCACTTAAGTGTGTGGAGGCCAATTTGGCACATAATATAGGGCATTATATCCTAAAGCACAGATGTAATGCTGAAGAAGAGAGGATGTATTAGAAAACAGGTGAGATTAGAAAAAGAGGTGGTTTTAATCAAGGGGCTTTTTGAATTTGACTACTGAATCCATACACTGAGTGAACTTAACTAAGGGCTCAATAGCCAAAGCTTTCTTCCTAAGTGGTTAGATGAGAACCAACCAAGGAAATTACTGTGTTGCAGCCATTTGCAGAGGCTGAATTCTTACCAACCCTGTAGTCTTTCTAGAAAATTGTAATAACTATCTGTGCCTGACATTACAAATTACCACATATTTAGTGGTTTACAACAGCACACATTATCTCTGTATTACCCATTACTCCATAAGTGTGAAGGATGGGATTGTTCTGCTAGATTCTGTACTCAGATTATCTCAAAGTTTAACTCAACCTCTTTCAGCTTGCATCATTAGGTTTATTCAAGTTGTTGAATTCAGTTCTTTGCAGTCATATAATTGAGGCCCTGTTGCCTTATGGACTGTCAGCTAGAGCTACCATACTTTCCTGAGGCTTCCTTTCATTCCCAGCTGTGGGCTTCCACATTTTAAATCCTTCTCAGACTTCAAATCTCTAACTTTCCC